GAAGCCACGTATTGCTGCAAAGAGTAAAAGAAAATTTTTACTACCATAATAATTGTACAAATTTTCTTCAACTGTGTCAATTTTATAAAAAATATTCCGGATTCACATAAAATATCTTTAAACTCCTTGACTTGTCCATCATTTTCCAATAATGTCAATCATTTTATTGACCATACTATGACAGTAATAATTTAAAGTAAATGAATATAACTCATCTAAAATTAATAGAAATAAATTTACAGCTTACTTTTGAGTTTTCGGGACCATGTCTTGAAGACAGTGTAGTAGAGTTGGTGCAAGAGAGGCTACAAGCTTCTGAGTCAACTCCTCAAATGATGGACGAGATGACGGCTCAATCTGTCAACAGAAAGATGGTTTAGGTAAAACAGTATCTATGAGGCAGCTGAAGAAATGCAGGGAAACTATTTAAACCCAAAACTAGGGTACAACCATCCCAGCCTGACCAGCCTAGTTCAGAAACATCCTGGTCTGGATCATCCTAGTCTGTAATGATTGTTTATGCCTCCAAAGAAGAACAAATACATATAGCAGGAACTACAGATGAACAGGGCGCACACCCCCGTAAGTTGACCCACCCACAGTAATTAGTGAGATTAAGACCTGACCCAACAGAGGTCGGTCACAAAGGAAAAGGAGTTCGCCACTGTGTGATGACAGACCAGGCACATGACCAGATAATTCAAAAAAACTACCCCCAGACAGCATCACGCACCTGATCAAACACAGCTGTCCACACCCACCCAGATTATTGATAATTAGGAGATGACATCTGCCGCCCTGATGCTCCAATATAGGCCTCATAGCTCCTTCCAAAAGTCAGATCGGGAGAGACAGAATTCAGAGGCAGACAGAGTTCCTTACAGAGACCAGCCCCAGCAGTACTAGGTCCTACAGAGTCCACTGAGCCACTCCCTCAGGTCACATGTGAGTCATTGTCAGAGAGATCCAAAGGCAAGTTACTACACGGAAGTGTATCCATTTCATGTTTGTGTACGAGAGTCATTGTCTAGAAACGTCAATATAATGATCTATTAATGCATCCATGCCATCCAGTTAACTAATAAATAGCTGTACTTAGAATTGGTGTTTAGAAGATTTCTAAGAAGACTACTAACGATTAAATAACTAATCGGCCAAGCAACAACTTCTTCACTTTTAAAACTCCCTCACTATAACTTACTTTACCTCTATGTGAGATTACCTCATTACATCTGATCACCCTGGTCTGGATCATCCTAGTTTGGATCATCCTAGTTTGGATCACCCTCAGTCTGGACCAGTATAGTCTGGATCATCCTAGTCTGCATCACCCTAGTCTGATCAGTCTAGTCTGGATCATCCTAGTCTGGATCATCCTAGTTTGGATCAGTCTAGTCTGGATCACTCCCAGTTTGGATCATCCTATCTGGATCATCCTATCTGGATCAATCAGTCTAGTCGGATCATCCTACTTGATCACCCTAGTTTGGATCAGTTCAGTCTGATCACACCCTAGTTTGGATCATCCTAGTCTGCATCACCTAGTTTGGATCAGTCTATTCGATCATCTAGTCTGGATCATCCTAGCTAGACTGATCCCAGCTTGACTGTCTAGTCTGGATCACTCCTAGCTTGGATCATCCTAGTCTGGATCATCCCAGCTTTGGATCATCCCAGTTTGGATCAGCCTAGTCTGAATCTCTCTAGTCTGGATCACCCTAGTTTGGATCAGTCTAGTCCGATCATTCTAGTCTGATCACCCTAGTTTGGATCACTCCTAGTTTGGATCATCCTAGTCTGACTGGATCATTCGATCACCCTAGTTTGGATCATCCTAGTTTGGATCAGTCTAGTTTGATCAGTCTAGTTTGATCATCCTAGTTCGATCATTCTAGTCTGGATCATCCTAGCTGATCATCCTCAAGTTTGGATCAATCTTAGTCTGGATCATCCTAGTTTGATCATCCTAGCTCTGGATCATCCTAGTCTGGATCACCCTGGTCTGGACATCATCCTAGTCGATCATCCTAGCGTCTGGATCATCCTAGTCTGACTCATCCTAGTCTGGATCACCCTAGTTTGGATCATCCTAGTCTGGACTATTCTATCTGGATCACTAAAACAATCATCCTAGTTTGGATCACCCTAGTTTGGATCATCCTAGTCTGGATCATTCTAGCCGGATCACCCAGTTTGACCATCTAGCCTGATCATCCCAGTTGGATCAATTCTAGTCTGGGATCATCCTAGTTTGGGATCAAATCTTGTTTGACTACCTATTGGATCATCCTAGTCTGATCAGTCTAGCCTGGATCATCCTAGTTTGGATCACCCCATCCTAGTTGGATCAGTCTAGTCTGATCATTCTAGTTCGATCATCCTAGTTTGGATCATCCTAGTTTGGATCAGTCTAGTCTGGATCACCCTAGTTTGGATCATCCTAGTCTGGATCATCCTAGTCTGGATCACCTCTAGTCGATCACCCCGGTTTGGATCGCTTCAGTTTGATCATCCTAGTCTGGATCAGTCTAGTCTGATCATCCTAGTCTGGATCACCCCTGGTCTGGATCATTCTAGTCTGGATCATCCTAGTTTGGATCATCCTGGCTTGGATCACCCTAGTTTGATCATCCTAGTTTGGATCAGTCTAGTCTGGATCACCCTAGTTTGGATCTATCATCCTAGTCTGATCATCCCAGTTTGGATCATCCTAGTCTGGATCATCCTAGTTTGGATCACCCTAGTCTGATCACCCTGGTTTGATCAATCTCAGTTTGGATCATCCTAGTTTCTGGATCATCCTAGCTTGATCACCCTAGTCTGGATCACCCCAGTCTGGATCACCCCGGTTTGGACTGAATTCGAATGATCACTCTAGTTTGACTCAGCCTAGCCCCAGTTGGATCACCCTAGTTTGGATCATCCTAGTCTGGATCATCCTAGTCTGGATCATCCTAGTTTGGATCATCCTAGTCTGGATCAATTTGGATCACCCTAGTCTGGATCATCCTAGTTTGACTCAGTCTAGTCTGATCATTCTAGATTGACTATTCAGTCTGGATCACCCTAGCTTGGATCATCCTAGCTTCAATCACCTAGTTTGGATCATCCCAGTCTGCATCATTCTAGTCTGGATCACCCTAGTCTGGATCATCTCAGTTTGGATCAGTCTAGTCTGGATCACCCTGTTCGATCATTCTAGTCTGGATCATCCTAGTCTGGATCATCCTAGTCTGGATCACCCTAGTCTGGATCACCAGTCTGGATCATCCTAGTTTGGATCATCCCCTAGTCTGGATCAATTCTGGTCTGGATCATTCTAGTCTGGACCATCCTAGTCTGATCACCTGTCTGGATCACTCTAGTCTGGTCACCCTGTCTGGATCATCCTAGTCTGATCATTCTAGTCTGGATCACTAGTTGGATCATCCTAGCTCTGGATCAGTCTAGTCTGGACTTAGTCTGGATCACCCTGGTCTGATCATCCTAGTCTGACTCATCTCTAGTTGGATCATCCCTCGGTCTGGATCATCCTAGTCTGACCAATTCAGTTCGACTATCCTAGTTTGGATCATTCTAGCTCCGGATCATTCTAAGTCTGGATCATCCTAGTCTGGATCAACCCTAGTCTGGATCATCCTAGTTTGGATCATTTAGTTCGATCATTCTAGTCTGGATCACCCCAGTCTGGATCAATCCTAGTCTGATCATCCTAGTTTGGATCATTCTAGTTCCGGATCATTCTAGTTGGATCACCCTAGTTTGGATCATCCTAGTCTGGATCATTCTAGTCTGGATCACCCTAGCTCTGGATCATCCTAGTCTGGATCATTCTAGTCTGGATCACTCGGTCTGGATCATCCTTGTCTGATCATCCTAGTCCGGATCATTCTAGTCTGGATCATCACCCTAGTTTGGATCATCCTAGTCTGGATGACCCTGGTTCTGGATCATTCTAGTCTGGATCATCCTAGTCTGATCATCCTAGTTTGATCATCCTAGTCTGGATCATTCTAGTCTGGATCACCTCAGTCTGGATCATCCTAGTTTGGATCATCCTAGTTTGATCATCCTAGCCCGATGACCCCGGTCTGGATCATTCTAGTTGGATCACCCTAGTTTGATCATCCTAGTCTGGATCATTCTAGTCTGGATCACCCAAGTTTGGATCATTCTAGTCGATCATTCTAGTCTGGATCACCCTAGTTTGGATCATCCTAGTTCCGGATCATTCTAGTCTGGATCATCCTAGTCTGGATCATCCTAGTCTGGATCATTCTAGTCTGGATCACCCTAGTTTGGATCAACCCAGTCTGGATGACCCTGGTCTGGAATCATTCTAGTCTGGATCACCCTAGTTTGATCATCCTATTTGACCATCCTAGTCTGGATCATTCTAGCTGGATCATCCTAGTTTGGATCATTCTAGCTTGGATCATCCTAGTCTGGATGACCCTGGTCTGGATCATTCTAGTCTGATCACCTTAGTTTGGATCATCCTAGTCTGGATCACCTAGTCTGGATCACCCTGGTCTGATCATCCTAGTTTGGATCAGTCTAGTCTGGATCATTCTAGTCTGGATCATCCTAGTTTGGATCATCCTAGTTTGGATCATCCTAGTCTGGATCATTCTAGTCTGGATCACCCTAGTTTGGATCATCCTAGTCTGGATGACCCTGGTCTGGATCATTCTAGTCTGGATCACCCTAGTTTGGATCATCCTAGTCTGGATCATTCTAGTCTGGATCACCCTGGTCTGGATCATCCTAGTTTGGATCAGTCTAGTCTGGATCATTCTAGTCTGGATCACCCTAGTTTGGATCACCCTAGTTTGGATCATCCTAGTCTGGATCACCCTGGTCTGGATCATCCTAGTTTGGATCACCCTAGTTTGGATCATCCTAGTTTGGATCATCCTAGTCTGGATCATCCTAGTCTGGATCATTCTAGTTTGGATCACCCTAGTTTGGATCATCCTAGTTTGGATCATCCTAGTCTGGATCATTCTAGTCTGGATCACCCTGGTTTGGATCATCCTAGTCTGGATCACCCTGGTCTGGATCATCCTAGTTTGGATCAGTCTAGTCTGGATCATCCTAGTTTGGATCATCCTAGTTTGGATCACCCTGGTTTGGATCAGTCTAGTCTGGATCATTCTAGTCTGGATCAATCCTAGTTTGGATCATCCTAGTTTGGATCATCCTAGTCTGGATCATCCTAGTTTGGATCACCCTAGTTTGGATCAGTCTAGTCTGGATCATTCTAGTCTGGATCACCCTAGTTTGGATCAGTCTAGTCTGGATCATCCTAGTTTGGATCACCCTAGTCTGGATCATCCTAGTCTGGATCATCCTAG